CAGGATGAAGTACCTTGGCAACCGTCTGAAAGGTAAGGATTCCCCTCAAAACCTTCAAAACATTTGCAGTTATACCCGGTTCCACGAGTAGAATTGAAACATTTGCTGTTCCCCCCGCATACGCTTGTGTTTCCAACTTGCGTGCATGTTTTGTCTCCAACAGACCAATCGAATACCACAGGGAACGCAGTGACGTTCCGCATATTCTTAAGATCTTCCAAAGCATCAAAATCAAAAGTACCATTTTCGGCGAGAAAGGCATAGGTGCAAGGATTAAAGTGATGCACATTAGTCATGTTCCCCAAGCGAGCTGGACTAGTTTTAAATTCATAGTTATCCAAAGGGACAGAGACGTCTGTTCTGCAGCAACCTTCACCATTACATTCTGCATTTGCTGCCGGTTGAGAATTGCATAATGACAAGCATCCAGTTGAGTAATTTCGCATTCCAAAAGTGCTTAGAAGTGCGTAAGCGTTACAGCCTACTAAAGTAAACTTGTTGTTGGTGGAGAGAGATAAATTAGTCAGTTTGTAAGAGTGGTAAATGCCATAGCTCAAAGTTCCTTTTGTATCATAGCAAGCATAAGAAATATCAACCCAGACGCGTAGCTCACCACTGTGAGAAATTTTGATCACTTTACGGTCACCAATAAGTAACTCATCTTTCTTGTTACACGTGATTTTGAAACTATCATCTTCAGCATAGTAACAACCTGGAGAAGTGCCAAAAGGGTACTCAAGTGATACGTTGCCACATGTCGTTGGGCAACCGCGCAAGGTTTGCCCCTTGACCAGTTGCGTATAAGAGATGCAGAAAATAGCCACCAAGAACAGACCCTGCATCTTCATCGTCTTTCTTTCTTTCTCTCCAAACTTGTTCCTCTATGAGTTTTCTCTCTCAACTCCCTGAGTCTTCTTATCAGAAAAAAGGTATGGCTATTTACATGATTCGTTTACCTTCTTCGCAGACCAGTTGCCATATATCCCTTTACTTTTTTTTTCAAAATCTGCAATACAATAATCAAACATCCAATTACAGAGCCAGGACATTTTCTACTTTAAGGTCGGTCAAGGGAAGCCCATGTCAGTGTAATACAAGGGGGCGTTGAAGTGTGTTTCATATGCCATATAATATCCAAACGTCTGCGTTTGCTTCCGTTTAGCCGTTAACTTCTATTATTATATTTTGAAGGATTCAAAGACCACAAGGGTTGGTGGTATCAAATGGGAAGAAAAGGTAAAAATTCTGACAACATGCTTTAGATATTATAGAATAGAAAACCCATTTGACAATAAAAGAAGAAACATTTGAGCTCTCGTCAACTTGAGTCACTGTCAAACTAGAGGTTGTGTGTGCTACATACTTAACTTTGTCCCCAGAGAATCAGACTAGACCTGCTGAAGAGAAGATAATCCCAATAAGCCATATAGTTGTTGTTAAAGGTTTCTCTTTTTCATTTCTAGGAACAGAATCAGGACTCACTATCCATTAGCTCATTCCGATCAAACTCTGAGAGCATAACAGACGATGTTGAGTACAGTCTTTGAACATGAGTTACATAACAATCAAACTAAACACAACTGGCAGAAACTACATAATGGATTTTGGACTCCTACCTTATTTTCCCGATGTAGGTACTGCTTGGATCGGGATATGCTATCTGCGAGAATGGAGATTAAGTACTTGGTGTAAATAGTTCTTCTTATGGTGTGTTTTCCCGAAAAGAAGGAACTTCTAGTTTTCAACCAACAAAGCTGAACACATACACTGAGCCATACACCGACTTCTTATACTGTCCATTGCATCGCTAACTATGCTAGAAAATGACATTTTTCAAATAAGTCTCATAGGTGTATGAAGCAATGAGCCAAAGACGTTTGTTTACACAGAACCTGCAGATCAAGAAGTAGAGTTTGTTTCAAATGAGAGTTTTAAGGATGCTTAATATTTAATAACGAACAAGCCCTTTTTTGTAACTATTAAGTATCCAGAAAACTCTGATTTGAAACAATAGAAAGGATAGAAGACTCACATCACTTCCCACGAAAAAAGGAAAACAAAAACAAGAAAAAACAGAACAGAGAAGCAAGCATGAGATGGACCAAAAGCAGGCAAATACAACAGGCTTTAAGTTCAAATCAAATTTACAATTCATATTAGAAAGGGAGAAAGAATAACACTTTTAACTTCAAACTGAAACAAACCTTTCCAATATAGCTTCAAGATTCTTCAGACCAAATTCAACATCGTTTCAACTGAAGAATCGAAACAAGTTAAAACACTGTCTGATAGATTGTCCAAAGTATAAACAGCGTAAGGTTCTCTGGATCCAAGTCCAACAGAATAAGAAAAAAGGGAAGAGCATTCAAAGGGAAGAGCATTAGCCAACACTTCATTCGGAAACTGTTTTTTTTTTTTTTATATAAATTACCAACACAGAGACATTTGTTACAACTTACAACACAAAAGATGGATCAAGATGTCAAGAATAATACAGCAGAATGATGAACATAACCTTAACCAGCTGATTCGTTCAAGCCATAAGGTTGATAAGAAAAAGTGACTGAGAAGTTAAGGTAAAGAACCTTAGAGAGCTGCTTTTCTATTAACCTATTCTCTCCCACTATGTTCTCAACCATCATCACTGCAACCACAGTGATTTCTCACATCAAAGTCTCAAGATCATTTCAATCAAAGCAAGTTTACAAGAGGAGAAAACGAGTCTAAATTAAGGGAAGCTATATATACCAATCAAGATAAGTGAAGCCACTTCCATTTATAATTCAATACCCAATTCCCTTTGTTTCAACTCCAATCCCATCCGATCATTCTCAAGTTTCATCCTTTCATTCTCCATCCTCATTCTCTCGAGTTCTTGATCCCTTTTCTTACTAAACCTCTGCCACCTGAACCTCTGTTTCTCTAATTCCAGCATTTCAACTTGGATCTGAAGCTTCTGCTCTTCTAACTGGAGAGTCCGAGCCTCAATCCACTGCTTCTGCATCGAAGCTGCTCTCCCACTCTCTGCCCCACCTTGATTCACATCAGCTTGAGGAAAAGGCAATTGAGCTACAGAGACTTTATTGCATTCCAAAGAATTAACGTGATTTGGATGATCCGCATCTTCATGGCTATCACTTTGTCTTATCTTCTTCAAAGGACCACCACCTAAACTTCCACCTCCGTAATGAACTCCCCTACAACCTCCATGCGAGAAATGGTGCTCCTCATACTCATCATGATCATCACCTTCCCTGTTATGATCCTCATCATCAAAATCCTCGATTTGGTGTTTCCTAGAATCATCATTATCATGATCATCTCTGTTTCTAAGCGCCAATTGCAGCGAACGCTGCAAAGCAAAGTCATGAGGCAAATGCAATCTGTTCCCATTGTGGTAAGAACACATCTCTTCGTAGAAAAGATGTTTAGAACTCATGATTTTTCTAACATCATCTTTCTCTTTATCATTCAAGTAACCAATCGAATCCAAAAGCGCAGGATTCTCAACAACTTGACAAGAAGTTCCCCTACCGAGCATATCGTTAAGCTTCTTATACCGTTTATTCAAATCATTGAACTTATCCTCGCATTGCTGAGGCGAAACATGATAACCCCTCTCAGCCATAACTTTCGAAACCGATTTCCATTTCCCCTTTTTCTGTAAAACCGCAAACTTCCTTCTACTACTACTATCCATAGTTGAATCATCACCAATATAAGAAACAGCAGTAATCAACAACTTAACCATCTTATCAGTCCACTTAACCCGTTGCCATGGAGATCCTTTACTCGATTTGTTAGCTTCGTTGTGACCATCACCACCTTCCTCTGTGAAACTTGGCTCATCATCATCACTCACTGAATTATTCTCTCTTTCACCTTTATGTTGCTCAGTCATTGACAAGTTGTGATGATGATCACAGTTTTGACCTGTAACCATAGTAAAGGGAAGACCTTCGTGAAGTGGTCGAGGATTTGGATTGTGTCGTTGCTGATTCATGGAATCTTCTGGATGATGAACTCTCATAGAACCTTGCAAATCGAATCCTCCATAAGAAGAAGCTCCACCACGAACCACACCTCCTTGCGGAAAATTCGCTTCCATGTTATATTTCCCCCCTCAAATCCCTTCCTATGCGAGAAAATCCGAAGATAGATCTCAAAAGTCACCAAAATGCGAAAATTTTCAATAAATTAGTACTGGATCTCGTGGAAATCAAAGATCGAATTTTTAGTAGAGAAACAAGCAAGAAATGAATCGGGAAGAAGAGATTAAAGAGTTAAATATGAGAGATGAGTCAAAAGAAGTAAGTAACTCACAAACAAAGTTTCGAACTTGCTTCGTCTTCTCCGGTCAGCTCCTCAAGGTT